TGGGTGTTATGCACAAACAATGAATCATGGAACACTACATCAAAAACTAATGATGTAATGTATGGTGATTAACATAACAATAAAAAATTATAAAAACAAAACAAAAACAAACAGGCACATCAAAATCACAATGGACAAGTCCAAAAGACCCTTCATGGTAAAAATCCACTGTCTCCTAGATGGTAGCCAGTGACTAGGTACAGATGTTTAAGACTTTCTATCACAGTTCTAAGGTTCTTTTCTTGCATGACTCATAATTATTGCCCTAAGAGATCACAGTTATTTTCATGCTTTCATCTTATGCAGAAACAAGACACTGTCTCAGGTAGCCTGGCAATATTCTCACTGTCCCTAACCTACTTATCAAATCAATACTTTGTTCAGCTGCAACCATTTTGAAATTGTAACATACAATAACCACAAGTTCAATACTACCCCTTCTCCTTTGAAGGCCGAAGTCCTGTATGGTACACACATTCCATTATAAAGGATTTTCACAATTTTACAACCGAGGATAATGTGAGAAAGACTAAGGGTATCTCAAAGTAGAACTAGAAGTCATTCTACTACTTTCCTTAAAAGTGGCCTTCAAGAAATTTAGCTGAATAAACAACTGAATGAAGGGATCCATCATAGCGCTCTACTCCAGGGGCTGTGAAACCTCCTCAGTGATTTCTGCCACAGCCCAGGGAGTCACATGTAGATGCTTTCTCACCTCCGTATCAAGAACAGAAATGATAGTGAGAAAAAGTTTAATTTAGTTTGAAATCTTAGTTTTATAGTGCAAACTAAATAAAACAAACCCTTTAGTTTTGGTGAATTACATAATACAGAATTCCCTGTCGGTTCACCTCACAGCCAGACAGATTTTGGTCACCATAAGAAGTCAAAACCACATCCTTGAAATAAAGAGATAGTAAAATATTTATTCTCTAACTTGGGAAAGTCCTGTGTCTACCTACAGTGTGAAAAAGGGTTCTATTTATTTAGGAACTCATGCATATATTGAAGCTTGAATTCCTGAATTTATGTGCACTTCCCATGTAACAGAGAATGTATTTTTAATAATCAGCAATTTGAATACTGTTAAATTCCCATGAACATAAAAAAACTTTACTGATTTTTTTTTTCTAAAGGTATCTGAGAAGAGAGACACATCTAAAACCCTGGGAATAAAACTGTCCCAGCTTTCTTATGACTCTGGCAACATAAGTCAGAAGAAGAGCCAGCTTTTATACCCCAAGTCAATCCTGGAAAGTACTCAAGCCAAATGCAACCCAGGACTAAATGAGAGATTTATTACATAGGGATGAGACTGGCATGGTAAGAGGCAAGTGCTTTACCATCAAACTTGAACAAAGTATTTAAAGCCCCCACTAGGCAAGCATTGAGAAAGTCTGGTGCTTCTGTCCAAACAGATAATTGCAAATGCCTATTTTTGCCCACAGGTATCAATTTTATATAATCTACATAATATGAAACTACCTTTATAAATAAGAAAATGTCCTGTTTGTTGGTGTGCCCCCAGCTCCACAGTGCCTAGGATGTAGTAGGTGTTCAATAAATAATTATCAAATGAAAGTAATGTATGATTGAGGCACAGCACCCTACAACTTAAGGGTCAGGTAAGCATAATCCTGAAAAACAGACAACACTTGAGAAAACCCTATAGTAATTACAATGATCCTGTCCATTCTACCACTGATTCTGGAGCTTCTTTGGAACAGTCTCTGGAAAGATGCAGCTTTTTCCTCTTACTAGGAAAGCCCAGGAACCTCATATGCAGAATCATGGAATGCCCAACTCATCACTAGCAACTCCAAGCGGAATGCAGAAGAGTGGGCTCAGACGCACTATCAAGGTCCCTGTGAGGAACAGCTACAGGCAGTATCACCAACCAGGATGCTCTGAACCTCCAGTTATCCCAAAGGGTCATGTTCTGAGCAGCAATACGACCCAAGCAATATGACCCCACACTATGAAAGCTCCTCCCTGTCAGGAGTAGCTGATAACCTTGGTAAATGCCTGCCAAAATGTCACCATTTTGAGGACAAGAATATGAAGGGGAAAAAGTACTTCAAAATGCCTGCGTTGGCTCACTCATTAAAAAAAAAAGATACTAAATGATAAATGATGACCTGATGTATTAAACCACTATCAATAACATCATCAACATTTACTGGAGGGCTACCAATCTACTAGCTATCCACTCTCCTTTTATTTTCTCTCACCAACAATGGAATCATCATAAAACTCACTGACTTTCTAAGAAGTAATTCAATTTTCACTGAACTTGACTTGATGAGCTAGATGTTTAAGAAGTCTCAAAGGCAGCATCGGTTCATGAAGCCAGGTGATTCTCCTAGAGTCTACAAGTGGAGTGATGAGTCACCTTAAATATATATACTTTTTGTTCTCTTCCTACACCTGCTAATCTAAGTGTTGGGATGAGACCAACTTAGTACAACACCAATTCTCACTATGTGTTTCATGTTTTTGTTAAAAAAAGTATATACTTTACTAATTATCAAAGATATACAAAATAAGGCAAGGAACACTTTATCCTTACTAAATTAGTTAAAAATAATGATAATGTCCAAATGCTGCAAAGATGGTGGTAAACTGGTACATGCATTAAGTACTGGCTACAGTTTAAGTCGGGATAACCCATTAAGAAAGCAATGTGGCAATATGAATCAGACCATATTGTATTTAGGAATTTTGATATGTATTGTCAATAATAATTTATCCTTAAGAAATATTTCAAATAACAACAAAAAATAATGTAAGCAGGAGAATATTCATTACAATTTTCTAATAAAGAGATAGTAAAAGTAGCCTAAAATGTCCAACAAGAGAAAATGGTTAAATTTGGTTTTGGTACTGAAAATGATGTAGCAACATAGACAGATGCTTGACAAAAGATAAAAAAAATAAATATATTTTCTGTATATTTTCATATACAGAAAATATACAGAAGCATATTTTCATCATGACTGAAACCATGTAAAAAATATATATGGCGGGGCGCCTGGGTGACTCAGTCGGTTAAGCATCTGCCTTTGGCTCGGGTCATGATCCAGGGGCCCTGGGATCAAGTCCCGCACATGGCTCCCTGCTCAGCGGGGAGTCGGCTTCACCCTCTCCCTCTGCCCCTCCCCTGTGCTTGTGCTCTCAGTGGCTCTCTCAAATAAATAAGTAAAGAAATAAATAAAATCTTTAAAAAAATACATATGGCTATGCAAAAGAACAAGGGAATATACGATGGTAGTAGCCATTTGTAGTTCCTGACTCCTCGCTAATATTTGTGAAATGATCTATTATCTTAAAATAAGAAGCCATTAGAACTTTAAAATATTTTCCTAAAACTAGCCTGTGTATCAACCCTTTTCAGTGAAAAGACCTGAAGTCAAGACACGATTACAGAACCCTGCCTCTGCATTAAAAAAAAAAAAAAAAGGAAATAACAGGTTCCTTATTCCTACCTTCTTCTCACCAAAATCTTTATAAATCCTCAGGCCAGACAAATTTGGAAAGCAAGGCACATTACAGGCCTGTATTGGGGAGGTTGATTGCATATTATCATTTTAGAGGTTCTCAGACAATCTGCAATAAGCTTGTTTAACTCTGGCTAGCCCAGAGTTTGCTAGATGTACCTGATCACAAAACCCTCTTTGCAAGGAAGACCTTCAAACATTTCTCTCCCCAGAGTTTGGGGAATGCTACTTGGGTTGATGATGCCCCAAGGGTACAACAGAAGGAAAGCATTTTAATTACCAGGAAGGTGTTTCCAGACAATGTGCTCCCTAGTTGGAAGTCACTAATGATAGTTGGCCTCCTCCCTCAGGTGTATGTGCTAAGGTAGAGAAAAAGTGGATATGCTGTCCCTTATAAACAATGGAATCCCATACAAATACAATAAACCCTTTAGGGCACAGGTTTGGGAGGTTTTGTGGCCCTTACAAAAGGGGTTCTGACCTAGTCCAAAGACAAGTTTCTACAAAAGCAGTTTCTTCCGTGTAATTATGAAGTGGCAACCAAAGAAATCAGAGTAATTCCTGTGAGAACTAGTCAGTTTGTTTTTTATATAAGTGTAGTATTGTTCATGACGTGAAAAAATAAAGCATTTATCTTTTTGAAGTCTGAATTTTTTTAAAAATACACATGTGTGGTAGTAGGGTGTTTCCAGAGGGCAAATACCAAATATCTACCTCTCAGAGCTAAAGGATGGGAAAATACACACCCCTGCCCCCTTCTACACAGTTCTTTAGCATCATGTGACTATTACCTCTGGCCGAAGTGTAGCTTTCATGCAGACTTGGCAAAGAGGCCCATTTCGGGAGAACTGAAGGGGAAGGCGCCGAGTTCGATTGCGACACGTTGGCTCCTCACAAATCAACCAGCCCTTGAGAGATGAAAGAGAACACTTCAGTCTTATTACTACCATCAAACAAATACAAATAAAAAAACCCTTTCAGGGGCACCTGGGTGGCTCAGTCGGTTAGGCATTCGACTCTTGGTTTTGGCTCAGGTCATGATCACAAGGTGGTGAGATCGAGCCCTGTCTCAGGCTCCGCACTGAGCGGGTAATCTGCTTATCTGCTTCTCTCTCCCTCTCTCTCTCAAATAAATAAATAAATAAATAAATCTTTTTTTTTTTTTTAAAAAAAAAGCAAAACATTGGGTGGCTGGGTGATAGACATTGGGGAGGGTATGTGCTATGGTGAGCGCTGTGAATTGTGCAAGACTGATGAATCACAGATCTGTACTTCTGAAACAAATAATGCAATATATGTTAAGAAAAAAAAAAGAAGAAGATAGCAGGAGGGGAAGAATGAAGGGGAGTAAGTCGGAGGGGGAGACGAACCATTAGAGATGATGGACCCTGAAAAACAAACTGAGGGTTCTAGAGGGGAGGGGGGTGGGGGGATGGGTTAGCCTGGTGACGGGTATTAAAGAGGGCACATTCTGCGTGGAGCACTGGGTGTTATGCACAAACAATGAATCATGGAACACTACATCAAAAATTAATGATGTAATGTATGGTGATTAACATAACAATAAAAAATTATTAAAAAAAGGCAAAACAAAAACCCTTTCAAGATGGACTCATTTCGTTCAAACTTCCTTAGAGATTCCGAAACAGCTCCTTATCATTCTTCTCTGACATGTCACTTTGATCTATGCCCCAACCTTAACAGTTGGGAAACTCATCAAGTTTTTTAAAAAAATAAAAGATCACATGAGATATTCTTCCCCTTTTTAATATATACCCCCTGGCATGCATACAGCAAAACCTCCCAATAAAAGCTTATATGATTACACACAGATGGGTTTTCGGTCATTAATAAAGACCATTATCAAAGTCAAGAGTATACCACATAGGGCGCCTGGGTGGCTCAGTCGGTTAAGCGTCTGCCTTCAGCTCAGGTCATGATCCTGGGGTCCTGGGATCGAGGCCCATGTCAGGCTCCCTGCTCAATGGGGAGCCTGCTTCTCCCTCTCCCTCTGCCCCTCCCCCCTACCTGTGTGTGCTCTCTCTCTAAAATACATAAATCTTAAAAAAAGAGTATACCACGTAGAAATGAGTGACTTTCCCAGTAGCTGAATGACTACTAGTGACTTAATTGCTGTGCTCAGCTTCCTTCTCTGTAAAATAGGCCCAACAACAGTATTTTACAGGTTGTAATGATGTAATACATTTAGCACGCTTAGAGCTATACTCGGCATATAAGAAATACTTAAAGTAAGCAATTATTTGAAATTAAGACAGATTCTTCTACACACATAATCTGGAGGCATAAAACTGGCTGCAATGTTTTCAAGGACAATTTCAACCAACCACTCTTGTCCCACTTCTGAAATAGTCATTGCCCACTTCTCTGGCCTTTAGACTCCCTTCTCACTTTCCTTCTTCAGTTACCCTCTCCTCCTGCTCTTGTTTGAATTTTCTCAGAGATGTGATAACAATATGCCTATTATCTTAAATCAGTATCATGTTTGCTATAAAACATATCTGTTCAAAAAGGGATACAAAACTGCACAAATAGGGTGGAGCAAAGCTCAGGTGTTCTCGGCTGAGCGTGGAGCCCGACTTGGGGCTTGATCTCACGACCGAGATCATGACCTGAGCTGACACCAAGGGTCAGATGCCTAGCCGACTGAGCCACCCAGGTGCCCCAAAGCTCAGGCATTCTTATGAAGGCATCAGGGTCTGTGGGTTTAGTGCTGCATGTATTAGGCACAATAAGGTGAAGCAAAGTAGGCTGAGGGGCTGGGGTACAAGGTGCATTCCCGGTTACATGGTGTTCCCAAGCAGGCAGCTGCAAATAGGGACTTGACTGTCTTTGTGTCTTAGGAGTATCTGGAGAAGCAAAACTTTTGAACTGGTCTTGAAGAGTGAGTAGAAGTTTGGTAGGTGGAGAAAGCAGGAAAGACCACTTAGGCAGAGAGAATAACACATGCAAAAGAATGAAAGCCAGAGAGAGCTATGTGCGATGTGATTAAGAAAAGAATCAATGACGTGTTTAACCCTGTTCTCTGTTTCTCGACTGAGCAGCTTGTTGGTCTTTTCTCCCTAGGTAAGAGCGGTATATATACTAATGCTGCTTAATTACACTGGGAACCTTCATCTGCCACTTATTAACACTGCCACATGGCTTTAATCCAAATCTGCAGGATGTCCCCACTCATTGCTGTGCTGTGTGACCTCAGTCCTCAGAATAGGCTCTTCTTGGAAGAAACTACAACCAGACTCAAGAGAGAGCCCCAAAAATCACTTCTTTCAGCTCCATTTATGGCTTTCACAGCCAGAGAAAGTAGACTGTAGAACTTTTTGACTAAAAGAAAGTATACTACCTTTCAAGATTATAAAATTCACTTAGTCAGTACATTCACAGTGAACTTCATTCCTGTCTTCAATCGATACGCTGAGCCATTTTAAAATTTAAACTTTTCAGATAGAGGATCTCAAGGACTCCTTATGAAACCTTTAATATATGCCCAGAATTACATTAAATATTGTGTGGAGTAGCCAAAGAGGTCCCAGGTACAGACTTTCAGGAAATGACAACCTAAATAAGAAAGGTTCACACACACAAAGACTAAAAGCAATTCATTAAGGTCTGACTTTAAGAACCAAGTTGTATGGTACCAACTAAAAATGCCAAACGAGACGGACAAGGGTTGGAGTCGTGTGGATCCTACCTGAGACAAATTACTACTACCACAGCAGAACACAAACTAGAACAAGGAATTAGTGGTTCTGAGTCACAGGCAACTCTCTGTTCCAATTCGTAGGGCCTATAACTATATTTTCCTGCCTTAAGGACAAGATTTTAATTCACATTTTGATATTTCAGAAACTCAGATGTGTTTACAATTGATATATACATTTAATAATGTATTTGTTTCCTTCAAAAACACTGTTAAGTCAAGAGTGCAGTTCACAATCAATGGCCCCTTAAAATTAAGGAAACCAGACACTTCGGTTTAGCCTGTCCTAGGCATGGGGGATACAGGGGGAGGTAGTGGTCCTGACCGCAGCAGGTATTAAATTTTCAATGCAGCCTATAAATACTAACAGCGAGACTAGTTGTTTCTGGAAGTACCCATTTAGGCATATTAATAAAGGAAGCAGTAGAATTCAAGCAAACCATGTATGAGACACCCAGGACTGGACAACTCCTTGATCGTTCATTTGGCTTTGCTACCTTAAAGTTGCTGTCTAAGGATTTACACGTTTCGAAAAAGATATCAGTTAACAATGCCAATCCCAGTTGTAATTCATTCAACTCTAAACAAAAGTTTTAAAAAGCAAGCAGACAGGCAACAACCTCCATGTTTTGAGACAATAAATTTTTAATTACTGGGATACAACCCGGAAGTTAAAATTATTCTTTAATTTTTAAAAATATACCCTTCGAAAAGCTCAACCTCTCTTCAGGTGTTTTGGAAACTTGATTCCATCAATTTACTACAACTTCATGACTCACTAGCAAGCTGCCAACCAAGGAGATGCTAAATTGTCACCTCACCTGTTTCTAAAGCAAACACCTAACTCTATCTCTGACAGAGTTACTAACTAAATGTCCTTTCAAATCATATAGAAAACAGATAATATAATTTGTCTAGACTTCCTACCAGTTATAATTAACATTAAAGAGGTCTTTTCTTCTTTGTCACCTCTCTATTCAGTACTTATTTGGGTTTGTTTGTACTTACTATCTGTTAATCTCCCTTTAACAAATGACAACAATAACTCGTGCTATTATGCATGGAAATTACACATGCTGATAACTGTGTGAAGGGAACTGGGGCTGAAACACAATATCAGAAGCCTGTAACTCTTGATTCTTCTTGTTTTATTTTGATAATTAAGCTTTTGGTCATGGTGTATTTTAAATAAAACTCTTCTGTGGGGGAAACAGACCCTAATCATATTCAATATATGCTTTGCTTCCATTTGATTTTGCCAAGTACACTTTGGTTAACCCTTTGTTCCCCCAGCAAATAGTAATGGACTAAGCCAAATCTACCTTTCAAGAACCATCTGCGTTGTTAAAATTAAATATGCCAAGTCTTTGAAAATATTAGTTACAAATACTAGCACTGAATAAATCCACTCACAAAGACAAAACTAAACTTACTTTTATTTCCCGTGTTGGGAAATAATGTACAGCCCAAAGTTACATTGCCAAGTCAATGGCAAAAAAATTAACTAAGTGTAGTTCTTTGGAAGTCCAACCTATAAAAAGGGTTGGGTTTTATGAAAACCCCCAGAACCACTCCAAGAATATGTGCCATCCAAATATGTCATTTTATTATGCAATGCCATATGTAAATGTCAAACTGTCACAACCAACAGGAATAAAGTCATTACGTTTTCAGATGCCTACCTTAACCACATTTATAAGTAGAGGGTTCAAAAGAGGTGAAGCCACCCTGGCCAACAGCAAAATAAACCTTTACCAAAACAAGCAAAGATCCATCACCTGTTACTTTAGTTTCAGCATCACTAATTCCTTGAAATCATTGTGTACGAAATTGTGTCAAATGCTGATTGGTTCTGATTGCTAAATTATATTTCTGAGGTCTCAACTAAAATGGTCTCTGTTTGCACATACTAAAAAGGGATCAATTTCCACTTGTAACTGAGGCATTCCTGGTAGGTGCACCTTAAACACAAACTTACCCATTTGTGTACTTTTGTATTTTTAGAAGGATGCACACACACAAATCATCCAGACCTGGAAATGTGGCACAGAGGAGGCACTCAAAAAAATCTTCTGAATAAATGAATGAACAGAAGCAACAAAATAATACACAGGAGCCAGTTTATAGAAAATAATAAGGGTCTAAAACTCCAAGGAGAAAGAAAAATGCACAGTTCTCATACTCTTGAAT